AGAGACAAGGGTCGGCGGCTTAAGTGTGTCTGCCGCGTTTAACGCGAACGTAAAATAAATAACATAATACTGTCACACAAATAAGCATATTGAAATTTAATTGAAAATATATTGTTACATCGTGTTTATTTACATTTTAGACAACAATGTTCGCGTGTGTTGGAATGCTCTCAGTTTCCGTGTTGCATCAACAACCATGAAATGAATCAAACATGTCACATTGTTTCATTGAAAATATGAAACGTTCATCATGTGTCAGATCACATGTATTTCCCCCTACTTTCTTTTAGTGATTCACACACTGAGGTATTTCCGAACGGCGTCGACGGACATTGCGGGCTTCCCGGCATACATCGAGGTGGGTTATGTGGACGGAGTCGAGTTCACACACTACAACAGCGAAAGCAAGAAAGCGGAGGCTAAGCAGGACTGGATGAAGAGCTTCGCCGTGGACAACCCTGACTACTGGGAGATGGAGACGCAGAGAAACGTCGTCAACGAGCACGTCTTCCTAGTTAACATCGGAATCGCCAAGGAGCGCTTCAACCATACGGGAGGTTGGTTTAAGGCCAACATTCGATGCAAATATCACCTGGTATCTTCTTGACTGACCCTTATTTTGTTTTCCACCGCTCGGTCAATTTGGGGACCAAAAACGTGTTTCTCTCAGGTGTTCACATTATCCAGTGGATGTTTGGCTGCGAGTGGAATGATGAGACCAATGAAACGGATGGTTGCAATCAGCACAGCTACGACGGAGAAGACTTCATCGCGCTGGACACCAAGACAATGACGTATGTTGCGGCAAATCCGCAAGCTTTCATCACCACTCTCAAGTGGAACCGTGACCAGGATCGAAAAGAATACAGGAAGCATTACTACACCGAGATGTGTCCCTCTTTGTTGCGGAGGCTTGTCAACTACGGGCAGAAAGTCTTGATGAGGACAGGTAGGAAGGATCGTGACGTAACGTGAGCTCCGGCTATGTTGTTAAAATCCACACAAGATGTTGCCAAAACACTATTTTTTTTCTGAATTCAGCGATCAAATCGCTTAAACGTGGTTCTTTAACGCTAAGACACAGCCACAAAATGTCTCCAAAGCAGTAATTTGGTCTAAATAAGACTCCTCAACTCACTTCAACATCGTTCCTTGATACCAAGATAGAGGTGTTAAGTTTTGTTTTCGTGAACCCACTCAACTTCACTCAATAGTTCCTAGAGGCCAGAATGGAAGAAAAGCACAATTTTTTTCCAAAATTAAACTCTTCAACTTATTTATTTTTGGGTCTAAATTCCACTCAACTCACTTCAACGGGGTTCCTTCACACTAAGATGCCACACAAAAGAAGAAAAGTTCTTTTTATTCAATAGGAACTCCTCAAATAACTCCAGCATGGCTCCCTGAAATCAAGATGCCTCAAAATGCTCCGAAAGCAGTCAGTTTGGCCAAATGAAGCACCCTATCTCACCTCAACATGGTTCCTTAGGAGTAAGCCGCCAGAGGTTGGCACCAAAGCGGTAATTCCTTTGAATGAAACTCCCCAAATCACTCACATTTTCCCAGGACACCAGGATGCCCAGAGATGGTAGAAAAGCTCTATTTTAGGCTGAATGAAATGCCTCAACTCTCCTCAACATAGTTCCATGACATCAAGATGTCACTGAACACTTTGAATTAGATGCAAAAAAAAAAAAAAACATTGCAAGTGTATGTAGGTATTCGTTGTACTCCCACCTTGTACTTTGTGACAGGAACATGACTATGTTCCATCTTCCACCTCTCTGTTCTCATGTTGTTTTTTTCCTGTGCAGAGCTTCCCAAGGTCTCTCTTCTTCAGAAGACGCCGTCCTCTCCGGTCACGTGCCACGCGTCGGGATTCTACCCTCACATGGCCGACCTTTTCTGGAGGAAAGATGGCGAGCAGCTCCACGAGGACGTGGATTCTGGCCAGACCCTGCCCAACCATGACGGAACCTTCCAGATGATGGTGGACCTGAGACTGGAGGTGACGGATGAGGTGGAGGGCCAGTACGAATGTGTGTTTCAGCTGGCTGGTGTCAAGGGCGAAATTGTCACCAAGCTGGAGAAAAGGAACATCCTGAGCAACGCACGCAATGAGGGTGAGGAACCATCATCGAGGTGAATTGTGTCCTCAAAATCAGCATGCAGGATTTTGGTCACTGCTAATGTCCTTTCCTTTACCACTTGTGTCCTGTTCTGTTTGGTCCAGTTCTCATAATAATAATAATAAGTAGTCATAAACGGTTCCTCTTCCTCACACTGATTTTCATTTTTTTTTTTGTTTTTGAAGCAGAAATCTATAATTGCTTTAAGCAACAAACAGTATGCAGAAAAATGGTTAAGAGTGAATGATGAGTCTTATGTGTTGTTTTATTTTGTTATGTTATTATGACTTCAAAATGGCACCACGAGAGTGGCTGCCTTTACAGCAGCTCCTATACTTTTTGTTCTTCTTTCTTCCTTTCATAACTTTGCTGCCGTAAATTGGGAATTTCTCCATCGTGAGACGAATATCAAGGTTTTCTTATTATTATCAAACAAAGAAATGTTTCCCCTTCCTTACACTGATTTTAAAATTTTTTGAAGCAGCAGCAGAAACAAGGAAGAAAATTGGCACCATCGCTGCCTTATTGGTGGTCGTCGCTCTGGTGGTCGTCATTGTGGTGATCGTCGTCGTCATTATGAGGCGTCTTAACCGCAGTCATGGTGAGGGACACAATTTTTTTTCCCCCCCGAGAGATCTTTGGCCCCTGCCATCGGTCAGATGAAGTAAACGTCAATGTGTTCCTCTTTCATTTCAGACATTGAAACTTCGTCTTGTAAGTCCAACGTTCGCCACTTTGTTGGGTCGTCACGAGAAAGGGTCTTCACGAGTGACTTTGTGCTCCCGCAGCTAGTGACGGAGAGCTCTCAAGCGAAAGCGAACGTCAAATGCTGAGCAAGACAAATGGGCCAACGCAAGACGGAGAGGACGCATTAACGGACTGCGTGCCGCTTGCCCCGGCTGGGCTGAACGACAAAGTACCGCTGTCTTAGCAGTGGGGCTGGTTCTTCAACCAATCAGACTTCATATTCTCCTCACGGTGCCATCTCGCTGGCCCGAAACATCGTCGCCATTTTCGTGTGGTCCGATCGGTGGGTCACAGCAAAACAAAACGCGTATCGTATCTAGCAGTCAACACAGATGAACACATTTGACAATTGGCATCTTGGGAGCAGAGTATGGCGTGTTTCATTTATGATGCTTCTCCTGTTGTGAGATGAAGAGTGATCGTGAACTGCCCTAGTATTTAGATTATTCCATAACTGCGACATGACGGTGGTGGTTTCCAAGATGGATTAAGGTGGGCAAAGCGCCAAATTCAAGGCCCGCCATTGCAACTAACCGACGTGGATGATGACACTTTCACGTTTGATGTAAAGCAGTTTTTGAAGCCGCCACCGAACAAACACGTTGACGCACGCTCATCGACATGTAGTCAAATTTCATCAGATCAGGTTTTCGGTTTCCACTAGTGCAGGAGTATCTCTTTTTCTCCATTTGATTTTGTCTGGGACAGTCACACGTTGGATTGATCAATGAACATACCACTGAAAGACTCTGCCAAAGAAATAGTTAGCCATTTTATTTTTTATTTTTTTGCAATTTAGTGTCCCATTAGCCTGCCATGCATGTTTTTGGAAAGTGGGAGGAAACCGGAGTGCCCGGAGAAAACCCACGCAGGGACGGGAAGAACATGCAAATTCCACACAGGAAGCCCGAAGCCAGGATCGAACTCGGTACCTCTGCAATGTGAGGTTGACGCGCCAACCAACCACTCTCCCACCGGGCCGCCCTTTTCTTACATCCAACTCCTTTAAAATGAAAAAAAAAAGCGATCATGTCCTGTTCAAAAGTAGCTACAATTTTGAATTAAAAATGTGAGTTATTTTGGGTGCGCTGAAGTCGGTGACAGTTGATGAATTTTTGATGAATTCATTTGCGGATTGTCATCGTATCGTTGTTGTTTTGGCGGGGCAGATGCCGCGGGATGTTTTCACGCTGCTGGAGCTCATTCGAAATTACACACGACGCCGAAGAGGTGAATCGGCATCCGCACGCCTCTTTTTTAGATAAACAGAGATCAGCCAGATAGAACAAATGCGAAAAAGATTCATGGGCCGCATTAGTTGGCGTGCGCGTGGCGCCGACTTCTCCTTTTCATTTCATCTCCGCTCACACTTGATGCTGAGGGGAGACACAATGCGCTCGCTCGCACGCGCGCGCGCGCACTCAAGATAAGATTAATGATAGCAAAGAGTCATAAATATGGAGATGATGTTCGAACGCCTACAAACATGCTTTGAAGTCTGAACGAAACGCTTTCTGACAGCGGCGCTATTCATTCACACCTCCTTGTTTTCGCTGTGCGTGAAAATATTGCGGAATGAGGAGGACCCAAAACAAAAGTGGACTTTTCCAACAACTTTGTGGAGTGATAATGCCATTTGAAACCCTAATCCAGGCCTGGACCTGACTGTTGAAACCCAAGTCTGCTTTGAAAAGTACACCCCCCCCCCCACACACACACACACACACACAAACCCATCTTGAAAACAATCCGTCTTGAATCCCTCATTTGGAATTAGTCGTCGGAGCCAGGAAACTCTTTCTAACCCTCCGATGTGAAACGCTACCTTAGGGTTAAAACGCTAATCCGGGTCCTCTGAAATCCTATTTTGAAATACCAGCCTGACTTGACAAAGTAACCCTGATGTTGAAAGCACAGCCATGTCTAAAAAAACCCTCTCTCGAGGTCATTCTGGCCAGGAACCCTACTTCATCATGCCAACCCTTTTGTAAAAAAACGTAATTTGGGAATTGAATTTCAAACCGCAATCGTAACTTGAACCCAATTTTGACATCCACCCAGTAAGTAGTCCCCAGAAACCCGACTCAGAAAACGCAATTCTTTCTGGAGACCTTCATTTGATACAATACTGTCATTAGAAATCCTTAGTTTGACTTGAAACCTGAAGTTCAAACCATAATCGACACCACCCAGTTGATTTGAAATCACAATCCTAAATTGGAAATTTTTTTTTTGAAAACATAGTCCTGGTTTAGGACGCAAATTTGAAACCGAGAGTCCTCACTTGAAACCCTCATTGCTCAGCATAACCCTGGTCTGGAAACCCTCGTTTCAAACTCCAATCTGATTTTCAAATTTTATCCTGACCCGGAAACCCCTTTTGAAACCCGAACCATTTCTTGAACCCTCAGTCGACATCATCCAGGCCTGAAAACTACTTTGAAAAACCCCCAACCCCGTTTTGAAACCTTCATGCGAATTTGAAAATCCAAATTGAAACCCCAAAAGGATCTTGAGTTTCTCATTTCAAACCCCTACGACTTCAAGCCCTAATTTCAAAACTATGATCCTGGCCGAGGGCTTGCTTTCATAACGCCAACCCTGTCTTGAAATCCCGATCCAGCCCTCGAACCCCAGACACTCGTTTGAGTCGCCCACCCTGGCCTAGAATCCTCGTTTGAAACCTGAGCCTGACTCAATAGCTTAATCCTGGCCTGGAAGCGGACACGTTGACATTCCAATTCATTCTTGAACTTGAAACCCTTTTGCTCAATCCATGTTTGTGTTGCGATGATAACAAACAGACTCGGATGGGAATAAAGTCAGACTGGAATCCCAACTTCTATTTGGGCTCAAATCAAACAAAAGGAGGCGAGCGGCGATCCAGATCGAGGGGGGGCTGCAGGTACGCGGGAAAGCCGCCGTCGGGCATGGGGTACTGGGTGCTGGAGTTCCGCAAGATGAAGAAGGGCGGCGTGACCGGCGCAAAGTGGCAGTCATACGGTAGGTGGTGGGGCGGCTCCAAGTCCAGCGGGGCGGCGTTGTGCATCCGGCTCCCCGGGAGAAGACAATTTTGCGACTCCAGTTTGGCGATGCGCTCGTCCCGTTGCACGATTCCGGCCGCCATGCTCCGCTGCAGGCTGAGCATCTGCGCCCGCAGGTCTGCCACCGTGGCGTCCATGTCGCGTTTGGTGCCCTCCAGCTGGCTGCCGAACATCATCATGGTGTCCTGCACGCCCTGCAGCGCCCTTTGAAAGCGGGCGTTGCTTTCTTTTTCCCGCCGGGCGAACCACTCGCACCACTCTTTCTCGCGCGCCGTCCTGGCGGGCGTTTTTTCCAAGTACTCCTGGAGCCACGAGTTGTCCTCCGTCTTTTGCGCGGGGGGGACGCCCGAGGCGGTCCGGAGGGCCCGGGCCTCACCTGTGCGCTCGCGGCGCCCGTCTGCGGTATCGCTGCGGCCGCCGACTTTGCCGCTCTGAACTTGCTCCGAGGTGGCCTGAGATTTCTGCCGGTCCTTGTCCGCCACCAGCAGGGGATTGTTCTCGTCCTGCGTCTGAATGGAGCCGCTCTCCGAGACGGACTTGGGGACGCCGTCTTCATTTGACATTTCATGTGGCTGGAAAAGACCAAATAGCTCAAGGCCTGATTTTATATTCTTTTGTTTGACATCCACAGTTCCTCACCCCAACATTGGTTCGAAACAATTCATCTCTACGCTCCTAAACAGTGGATATAAAAGGTCGACACACCCTTGTTCAAATGCCAGATTTGTATGCTGTTTAAAAAAAAAAAAAAAAAAAAAAAATGAATCATTTCAAAACTTTTTTCCACCACCGATGACTTTACAGACAAGATGTAAATAGCCCAAAATAAAGTTCAGCTTTTCTTTATATTATTATTTTTTTGAATCAAAAGGGTGAAGTTTGAGTGACATTTGGAACTCTTCATAATTCACTCCACCTTGACTCAAGGCTGCAATTCCAGCTGATCCCACCGTAGGCCGACCTCATTGCCCGGGCATACGAAAAAAAGACAGGTAACTGTTGTCATGTGGACCAAAACAGCCAATACGTGCTCGTAATTGCTTCAGGTTCTTCAACGTTGCCGACGGCAACCGGTTTTCTTCTCGTCATTTTCGACGGCTGCCCAGTTCTCGGTCATGTCTATTTTCGCCACCTGTTGATGACTATCATTCATGGTCCGTGGCGAAATACGTTTGGAGCCTTCCCCCCCGAATGATGTCTTTGAAGGGGTTCCCTCGGATGCTGCGGAAGCACTCTGCAGACGGTGACTCGTGTCATAAGATGCCACTCAATAAATGTCCAGAAAAGCCAACTTGAACATGTGAACTTTATGTGGTGTTGATTGGGAGCAATTTAAGATGTGTGCTGACGTCCTTTTGACACGAGTTTAAATGTCGCTGCTAAAATCCAAGCATAGCCACATCCCCGGTCAGAAGATGGCGGGCACACTTGAGCAACCTCATTGTCGCTCATAATGGTTTTTGCTTTGATAGATTTAGGTGCTGAGGTCACATGAAAAGTAGGAAAACTTCTGAAATTATTTTGCGTGTTTTTTTTTCTTCATATAACCGACACAGTTGAACAGGGGTGTGTTGAATTTTTATATCCACCGTATAGATTATTTATCTTCCGTGTAGATGATTTCTCTTCTGTATGTACATGCAAGTGCCTAATGTAGCATAGAAATATCAGATAAATTCAGTTCTTACTTAACGTGTTTGATTTGAATTCCATGTATGTCGCACTACGGCTTTGTGTTTACATGTTGAACCCTTTCAGGGACAGCGCTTACGACAGTGGTCAGCTTAGCATGTTATCGGGTTACAGGGCGCATGAAAGGGTTCATGCCGATACAATGTAGACTTGCATCATAGTTAATGTTCTCTGCCGTATTGACATTATATCGAATGCATCTCGGATATTCCATCTATGCTGTTCATCATTTCCGTGTTTGATTCATACACCTCAAATACAACGTACCAATATATTTACGATCCATTTACATCATCTTTTCACTAGTAACGTAACATGTTTACCTCTAATGTGCCATGTTTCAATCATTTTTACCGTACCAAGATACCATATTTACATCCCATATGTTTCATACATGTCACTTATGGACGTAATATTAACTGTACTGCTTTTTCGTCACGTTTGGCTCATTGACTGCCGGTGTGACAGACGTCAAAGATCGATTTGAAGCAGGCCGGCAGGGAACGAGTTCACGTCTCCAATGCCCCCATTCACATGAACTCTGATGCGCCCTGAATGGACCTTCTTCACATCACATCGCCGCACTGTAGCGTGTTCACATACCTCCATCGCAGCATTATTTAATGTTCTGACAACCTCCCGTGTACCATATTTACAATATTTTCAATCCACATCCACCTGTCATTATCGACAGCAAATTTCATATCTGACACCATCTTGACACAATACTTCAGGCACCGGTACTGTACCATAACGACGGTTGTGAGCGCACCTCTTTGGACCTGTCCGCTTTCTTCTTGTTCGCCTTATTTGAGACAAGAAACCTGACAAGATTGCTGAAAACACTCATGCTTTTGCTCGCGCGGGTGCCTGGAGGACCCGCAAGGACCTCAAGCTTGTGGTGGTGGGGGACAGGGGGGCAGTCTTTGTGTCACCTCCTTGACATGAGGGCGGCCGTGGGGGGAAGCGGTGACCTCACAAAGACATCAAGGCGTGATGTCACAGGTCACAGATGAGCACATATGTCTGGAAAGCTTAGTTAGCTTTGTTTGAAAAACTAGCAGTGTGAAAGCCTAACCTTGGTTTGAAACCTTAACCCTCATTTAAGAACCCTAACCCGGGCTTGAAACCCTAATTTTCAACCTTTGTCCAAGCTTGAACTGCTCTGTCACGCCAACCCGCTCACAAAACACTCTTTTGAACGCTCGTTCAGACTTAAAACCCAATTTTGAAAGCCCCATCTCTTGTTCAAAACCGTAACCCTGATTTGAAACCATCCATCCATCTATTTTGCGATCCACTTCATCCTCACAAGGGTCGCGGGGGGGTGCCGCAGCCTCTCTCAGCCGTCTTCGGGCAGTAGGCGGGGGACACCCTGAACCGGTTGTGACTTGAAGCCTTAATTTGAAATCGCACGTTGACGCAAGCCGCCGCCTTTTCTTCTTCTTGAGCCTCCCGGGTCGCGTTTGAATAATAGAAAGGGCGTCTATATTTGAGATCGTCCTCAGTTGGCGAACAGGATTGAAATGATTCCAGGCGTCAGAAGAAGCCGCCGAGGGGGCCCGAGAACAACGAGTCGCATGTGGAGGCCCACTTTACACTCGCCGTAACCTCCTTCTTTGCCACTCGCCAGCTGTCTTCCTCAACTTCACTTCACTTCACTTCGCTTCACTTTTGGGCTGACGGCACCATTCGCAACCCACTGGATAGATTTTTCATTTCAGAGGAAAAAAACTACTTCAGGATCTCTTTTAGTTTGTTTGTTTTTACAAACAGAATCTCAAAATATTTATAGTTGTTGAGTTGATTTTTTTTTTTCCAAGCTCATGATCTCCAAATATTTTGATGTAAAAAATTCACAATATCTCTTTTTTTCTGTCAAATATGCAGTATCGCTAAATATTTAATTTCTCCCAAAAAGTTCATTCGGTCTGTCAAAATTGTTTTTTTAAACATGCAGTATATCCCCTCTATTTTATTTATTCATAAAAAATAAAATAAAAAATGTTGTTCCTGTACATAAAAAAAAAATCCCCGAAATATATCGTATCTCCAAATGTTTTGATTTGTCCCCAAAACGCAAAATATCTCAGATTTGTGTTTTTGAAACACATTTTTCGATTCATGAAAAACAAAAAATAAACAATTATCTCCAAATATTTAGATTTATTAATTACCAGAAATGTTGGATTTTTGTGGTGGGTTGGTCCCTTCTCAGAGTGCTTTTAGAGTGCAAACTGTACTCTCAAGACAATGGAGACAAAAAGAACGTGACATTATTTTGGACGCAAAAAGGGTGGGTCAAATGAATAGCTCACAAAACATCCAAATGTTGTGGGTTGGTTGATACCAGATAACCCAATTTGGGGGCTGTTTTAGTCCAGTGTTTACAGAGCAATTCATTTGACTAAATTTGGCAGATATGAGCACTCCCTTCGTGTTGCTGTGTTGCGTTGACCTAGGCGAGTGATTCCTCGCCTTTGGCGGCAACACAAAAGCCTCAGAAAGTGCAGGAAAAGGTCTCCCAAATGAAAAGAAAAAGAAAAGTCTCTCACCCCGATCGACGAGAATATGAATGTTTGATTCATACGTCGCCCATCCCAGTATTTGTGTCCTCACCGAGACGTTTGATCAACGATTGGTCTTCCTCGGAGGATGCATGGAAATCAAGGCGCTTTATCGACTGGTGCAGCCTGCTGATGATGTGTTATGACGTCTACGTTCTCCTTGGGCACTATTGACTTATCGGCGACCTGTCTTATATGCTGCTAAATATGAACGGCAAGTTATGATGAAATATTGCCAAAGTTTGAAAATTTAATGTTGGCTATCGGCTGAAAGGCTCGGTCGGTCGAGAGGGGTCGCCGGCTCGTTTGCATTGCGGGCGCACCCGCACAACATCCTGAAATATTTATAACCCGTGCACGCAGAGCTGTTCCGCTCATGTCAGGCCTACTTGACACGCACACACACACACACACACGCACGCGCGCGCGCACACATAGCTTTGCAACGTTTGTCATCATGTTTTTCTCACAGTTGCCGTTTTGTTATTTGTGTCGCTTATTCCGACGAGCTCCGGAGCCCCCGGCGTCCGCTCGCCTCCCCAGACTCTTCTTCACGGCCTTCGGCGCCGGCTGAACAAAGACCGATCCCCGATGTCTGACAGGCGAGCGCGCGAGAAAAACGAAAGTGACATTTTTCGGTGGCACTCCAAACTCCAAAATGTTCTTTTCATCTCTGCTTTGTGACACCCGGCTGACAATCCTTTCATAGTCGCCGTCGGTCCTTTCATTGGTGCAGACGCTCCTCTCATACTTTTGATCACATGACGACAACTCATGGGCGCCGTTTTTCCACATTCATTATTTAATAAGCAACACATTTAGAAATAGGCTACCTGTATTCTTTTTTTTTTTTTTTTTTTTTGCCATTTGACTGAGGCTCAGCATCCAATCATTCATGTGTGACCCATGCTTTTTGGGGCTTTTTACAAACTATAAATTTGACACAAAGTTGAATAACACACCCTGAGCTTGTTGTCAGCCAATCGCAGGGCACACATGGATGGACAAACAACCATCCGTGCTCACAGTCACACCTAAGGACAATTTCGAGTATTCCATTCAACTGCCACGCGTGTTTTTGGAATGTGGGAGGAAACGGGGCTCATCAAATTCCTCAAATTAATCGAAAATGTTGCACAGTGTTTCTTCTACATGTAAAATAGATGCTTCTTAAGTTGATATGACTCCGATCAAGTTCAACATGAATAGGTACATATGACTTCCTTGTGCAAATATCTTTTTGATTGCAAGATTTCAAATTCAAGTCCCGACAGCAAACAAGATCTGCTGTCCTCCTGTGACTGTACTTTGCACTGTACTCTTACTGAAAAACCAAACACACAACCAAAAGAAAATGTCACACCTTTAAAATCAGAACGTATGGCCAGCTAAATGCTGATAAACAAATTTCGAAGTTCCACCGCCCCAACCTTACTACTGTTGCAAGTACAACATCGAAAACTTGACTTTTCAAAAATGGCAGTCAGATAGACTGGATTTCAGAAAGTCCTGATCATGCATGTCATCGCTTCAAATCTCCCCACTGTAGATTCACAGCATGGCTGCGCTTACCTGCACCACTCCTTCATTGTTCTTTTGTGTTAAGAGTCAATCTTAAATGCGCGTTTTTGTATTTCCGGGTCAGCTTGGCTAATGTTGGCTCTCATGCGCAGCTGATTGAGAGACGGGACGACACTGCTTTGGGGAAGGAGGGAATTATGAAAGAGGACTTGGAAACTGTATTTAAGCTAAAGAACAGAGTTAATGTCTTTGTATTTCAAGCTAATTTCAAAGTAAAATTCCATGAAATTCCATGTTGGTTGTTTTCAGTTACCCTGAAGATGACCCGGATGTACGTCAACGGCGCATTTTAAAAAAAAGCACTCCCTTGCAAAAAAAAAAAAAAAAAAAAAGTTTGCGTCATCTCGCAATCTTTGCAAGGAAATGCAAACGTTTTTTTTCCTTCCATGCCCCCTTAGGGGCTCCGCACAATTCTTACCTTCCACGAAACAACCTTGCCCTCATCCAAACATTTGGATCACGCCTCTTGCTTGAGTTCTTTTTTGTTAGTGTCTTCTGGTCAATTACAAAAAGTACTCCGGATGTGCTATGTGCATGCCGTGCACCACACTGCCCCTCAAAGGCCAACGTATGCATAGCAGGAACAGCACAACAACTGAAGACTGTTAAGCTTCCTGCATTCATGGTGTGTTCAAAAAAATTCTTAGTTAAAAGGAATTGGCATTAATTTGTTCTGAGCACGTTGTTTGTTTGTTTTTTACTTGACAACTTGAAGTGTCAGTTGCAGCCCAACACACACACACACACACACACACACACACACACACACACACACACACACACACACACGCACACGCACGCACGCACACACGCACGCACACGCACGCACACGCACACACACACACGCCCACCCACACACACGCACA